TTTTTGACAATGAAACGTAAGCTTGTCCAGAATTTTTTAACAATTTAGTTATTTTTAAAGACCAGTTACCAACATTCCGTTTTCTTTTTTTGCCTTTTATAACTTCTATCTCTGCTAAGCTTCCATTTATAACTTCTTCTGTACCCTTCGTTGAACTTTTGTCACTACCGGGATGCTTGTTGATGAAATCTGGATCTGCATCTGAGTCATCTTCGTCGCTTTCTCCGCTATGCATGGGCGAGACAATATTTTTTTTATTTTCTTTTTAAATGAACAACTGTAGGATGATCTATATTACAAGACACTGTGTAATAGTTGCTCATCTAGGCTGAGGACTGTTGCTTGTAGCCTCTTCGAAAATGATCTCTGACCGAACAGATTCTTTAGTTACGGCCTCCACCGTATATATATATATATATATAAGCAAAGAGGACTCTTTATACTTTTTTAATTCTCTCTAGCTTTCAATGGACTTTGCCATCATCATCAGGAGCTGCAATTACAATGATAACAGTGGCAACAAAGGTGTAAAATGAATTTAAATTGACTCAACTTACAGTAGTATGTGAGAATGTTGCTAATTGTTGTTTACGCATATGATGAGGGAAACGTCCAGTAACATGGTGAGAGCTGAATAGGTTGCACAATAGTCAAAATTTATACAAAACATGACAAGAACACGTTAAAACAGATTAAAAATTATTTTAAAAAATTAGAACATTACATCGTGAAAACCACCTGATGATTGCACAAATTAGTGGTCATGGAATGATGAATTGATGAGTGACATGAAACCCTTTGACAGAAGGCCGAAGGATGTCAATGTCAGTATTGAAAGATGGAACGAATTGTGGGCGTGTGCCAAAAACGTTGCCAAATCACTTCAGATGAAGAGATTTACAGAATTTTATGATGGAATTTGTTAAACCGACCAGAGGCAGTTGAATAAACTATATTATTATTAATGGGAATTTAAATTAACAATTATTAATAAATCGTGAGGAGAGAATTATTATATTTTGAGTGGAATGAAATTTACTGGTGGAAACGGCCAAAACACAAATTCTAATTATGTTTGTGAAGAGTTGAAATTTGGGGAGATATGTAAGTTCTCCAATTTTTCGCAGTTTAGCAGATATGAGTAAATGACACTCAGTTGTTTAACATCTGTCTTTTTGTTGATACAGTTGTTATTCATGAAAATGTGGGACATTTCCAGGAATAAACGTTTGGAAAGGTGTTTTTCTTTATCAAGAACTTTGATACTTGTGTAATTCATAGAATGCCCTGTTGTGTTAACATGAGATGCTAGAGCGCATCTTTCAGGATGAAGCCTAGCATCACTTTTGTGTGATGTAATCCTTCCTTTAAGAGATCTGGAGGTCTGACCTATGTATATTTGGTTGCAGTTGTTGCAATTGATGGAGTAGACTGTGTTGGTTAAGCCAAGCAGCGGGACTTTGTCTTTCATTTTTGAAAAAATGCAGTTTATAGTGAGGACGGATTTGCAAGCAATTCGAAAGTTCAAAGGACTGCACAATCTGATAAGCTTAGGGGTCAGTTCCTTGATGTAGGGCAGGACAGCAAAACCAGGTCTGGAGTCCGGGTTGGTGCTAGTACTGTTAGGATTGATGTTATTATTGGGAATTACATCAGTTCCGTTATTGGGGGTTGTGCGACTATTACCTGCATCACCAGAGTTCGGCAAAATATTGGAAGGTGAACTAAAAATGATCTTGTTAATCAGACACTTCGGATAACCATTATTGATGAACAGTTTTGATAGTTTACGTAAATTTGAGGTGTGGAATGTATTATCTGAGATGCTGATTACCCTTGTTTTCATCTGTTTTACCAAATTGATTTTAATCCCTAGTTTATGGTATGACCTAAAATTGAGAAACCGACCTGAGGCCATAGGTTTCTGGTACCAGTCTACCAATAAACTGTTGTTGTTGGTGCGAATGAGTCTTGTGTCTAGAAAGGGGACAGACAGGTTCTCATCTTCTTTTTCAATGGTAAATTGGATGTAGGGGTCATAGCTGTTGAATTCTCTGACAATACCATCCAGACCTATGGAAGGGAGGCATAAAATAATGTCATCTACGTATTTTTTTATGAAGAAGAGGTTATAGGGTAGTGTCGGAATAACTGTATCAAGCAGATCATCCATGACATATTCCGCCAAAATTGGTGACAGAACAGATCCCATAGGACAACCATGTGTTTGAGAATATATTTTGTTGTTGAAAGAGAAATAATTGTTATGAAAAAGGAATGTTATAATGTTGGTGAAAGATTCTAGAGATATGTTGCAGTGTTGACTTATCTCATTCCAGTGTTTATTAATAGTTCTTGTACATGCATCCAGATAGATGTTGCTGAATAGCGACACCACATCAAGACTGGCGATAATATGATCGGCTGGTATTGTCAATCTATTGAACTGACGAGAGACCTCAAATGAGTCTTTGATGTAGTAATCATTGTCTGCATGTGCTGATTTTAGTGTTGTCGATATTAATGAAGACAAAGCCTGGGTGGCTGAACCTATTGATGCAACTATAGGTCTTACTGAGAGTACAGGTTTGTGAATTTTCGGAAGTGCATAAAATTTTTTGGAGGGACAGAGTTATAAGTAGTCAAAGTTCTTTTTGTTCTGTCCCTCCAAAATTTTATGCACTTCCGAAAATTCACAAACCTGTACTCTCAGTAAGACCTATAGTTGCATCAATAGGTTCAGCCACCCAGGCTTTGTCTTCATTAATATCGACAACACTAAAATCAGCACATGCAGACAATGATTACTACATCAAAGACTCATTTGAGGTCTCTCGTCAGTTCAATAGATTGACAATACCAGCCGATCATATTATCGCCAGTCTTGATGTGGTGTCGCTATTCAGCAACATCTATCTGGATGCATGTACAAGAACTATTAATAAACACTGGAATGAGATAAGTCAACACTGCAACATATCTCTAGAATCTTTCACCAACATTATAACATTCCTTTTTCATAACAATTATTTCTCTTTCAACAACAAAATATATTCTCAAACACATGGTTGTCCTATGGGATCTGTTCTGTCACCAATTTTGGCGGAATATGTCATGGATGATCTGCTTGATACAGTTATTCCGACACTACCCTATAACCTCTTCTTCATAAAAAAATACGTAGATGACATTATTTTATGCCTCCCTTCCATAGGTCTGGATGGTATTGTCAGAGAATTCAACAGCTATGACCCCTACATCCAATTTACCATTGAAAAAGAAGATGAGAACCTGTCTGTCCCCTTTCTAGACACAAGACTCATTCGCACCAACAACAACAGTTTATTGGTAGACTGGTACCAGAAACCTATGGCCTCAGGTCGGTTTCTCAATTTTAGGTCATACCATAAACTAGGGATTAAAATCAATTTGGTAAAACAGATGAAAACAAGGGTAATCAGCATCTCAGATAATACATTCCACACCTCAAATTTACGTAAACTATCAAAACTGTTCATCAATAATGGTTATCCGAAGTGTCTGATTAACAAGATCATTTTTAGTTCACCTTCCAATATTTTGCCGAACTCTGGTGATGCAGGTAATAGTCGCACAACCCCCAATAACGGAACTGATGTAATTCCCAATAATAACATCAATCCTAACAGTACTAGCACCAACCCGGACTCCAGACCTGGTTTTGCTGTCCTGCCCTACATCAAGGAACTGACCCCTAAGCTTATCAGATTGTGCAGTCCTTTGAACTTTCGAATTGCTTGCAAATCCGTCCTCACTATAAACTGCATTTTTTCAAAAATGAAAGACAAAGTCCCGCTGCTTGGCTTAACCAACACAGTCTACTCCATCAATTGCAACAACTGCAACCAAATATACATAGGTCAGACCTCCAGATCTCTTAAAGGAAGGATTACATCACACAAAAGTGATGCTAGGCTTCATCCTGAAAGATGCGCTCTAGCATCTCATGTTAACACAACAGGGCATTCTATGAATTACACAAGTATCAAAGTTCTTGATAAAGAAAAACACCTTTCCAAACGTTTATTCCTGGAAATGTCCCACATTTTCATGAATAACAACTGTATCAACAAAAAGACAGATGTTAAACAACTGAGTGTCATTTACTCATATCTGCTAAACTGCGAAAAATTGGAGAACTTACATATCTCCCCAAATTTCAACTCTTCACAAACATAATTAGAATTTGTGTTTTGGCCGTTTCCACCAGTAAATTTCATTCCACTCAAAATATAATAATTCTCTCCTCACGATTTATTAATAATTGTTAATTTAAATTCCCATTAATAATAATATAGTTTATTCAACTGCCTCTGGTCGGTTTAACAAATTCCATCATAAAATTCTGTAAATCTCTTCATCTGAAGTGATTTGGCAACGTTTTTGGCACACGCCCACAATTCGTTCCATCTTTCAATACTGACATTGACATCCTTCGGCCTTCTGTCAAAGGGTTTCATGTCACTCATCAATTCATCATTCCATGACCACTAATTTGTGCAATCATCAGGTGGTTTTCACGATGTAATGTTCTAATTTTTTAAAATAATTTTTAATCTGTTTTAACGTGTTCTTGTCATGTTTTGTATAAATTTTGACTATTGTGCAACCTATTCAGCTCTCACCATGTTACTGGACGTTTCCCTCATCATATGCGTAAACAACAATTAGCAACATTCTCACATACTACTGTAAGTTGAGTCAATTTAAATTCATTTTACACCTTTGTTGCCACTGTTATCATTGTAATTGCAGCTCCTGATGATGATGGCAAAGTCCATTGAAAGCTAGAGAGAATTAAAAAAGTATAAAGAGTCCTCTTTGCTTAAATCTTGTCGAAGTACCCAACAAAAAGCGGAAGCTTTAATTTTTCACCTAACTGGTCTAGACGACAATGACCACGTCTCAAGTTATATATATATATATATATATGGCAATGACTACTGCTCATATATAAATCCAAGTTTTCTTGAGCTAAAGGCATTACTGCATCTTGAGGCTGGTGATTGGTAGTGTTACAATGTTTACCATATAAAACCAAATCGTATCCCCTATAATCACTGAGATTGCCAGAATCAGTGGGAATCTTCTCAGTTGTAGATGTTTCGGCTTCAATCATCGAACCCAAAAGCAAGTCATTCAGTTGAGAACCAATTTCAGCATTAAAATCTTCATTAGGTGCTGGTATTTTATTATATTCCGTTGTTTCTGGCGGATATTTTGCTTGATACGCAACGATACCCTGCTTAACAACAAAAGCTGTTCGACTTGAGACATCCATACCGTTGCCTACAACAAAAAAAAACAAAGTTAAAAAATTGAGTTGTTAAGAAATTCTTGACAAGCTTATTTTTGTCAAAAACGAAAAAAACGACAATAAAAAGGTAAGTCAAACATATTTATGTACTTTCATTTAGCATGATAATCATGAAGTCCAACCACAGGTGAAACCCAAAGGTGAAAATATCGTGTCAAAATTGATTATTGTCATACCGCGAATTGAATTGCACAATCTCTAAGGTCTTAAACTATTCGGAAATATATCGATAGTGGTAAAAAGGTGATGGACTTCTATAGATATTATGAAGAAGAGCGAGAAAAATAACTTCAATATTCCAATTACTGTCTGTGAGTTAATTCTAGATTTCCTCATTTAATAAGAAGTCCTCACCCAGTATATCTGTTTAATGTAAGGATAAGAAGTTACACATTTTCTGTGAAATACATATCAAATTACTTCCTACATATTTATAATTTTAAAAAAGTTGAAAGGCTTACGTAGTTAATTCGTCAAATTTGTTACAACAAAAGTGACATACACCAAAACATATTACAACAAAAGTTACCTAAATCAAATTTTATTTGAACATTTGTGTTACTTTAAGCAACTAAAGTGACACAACATTATATAGAACAAATTTCACTACAGATTTCTATCCTCTTAACTGACCTAATTCAAAATATTAGAAGAACTATATTCACCGTTGTTCATCAAAAATGACACAAATCAAAATAACACGGTTTGAATGCATTCACGTAACACCTTTACTGTATTGAAGACAGGGTACAACTGAAAATATTTCTGTTTAGCCGGAGATACTAATACAAACGGAATCTGCAAAAGCGACACATATGCCATCTGGCGGTCAATAGACAAAGTCAATTTATTACTCTTTTGCTGGAAGGTAAACCATTATTTTCACATCTGATTGCTAGTAACAACTCAAAATTCACACTTTTTGAGTTGTGTCACTTTTGTAGCAAGGGTGCGAATTATGTATTTTGTATGATGTGTGACTTTAACTATATTTTAGTGTATTTATTTCGGACGCCTACTAGCGAGAAAGTACTGTAATAGCGAAACACCTCGAAAATGAGATGCTTTTTCGATGTTATATGATATGTACATCATGCCAGTCATTTGCCTCGGTGTATCCGCTAATCTTTAGACCGCATATAATTTTTTATACTCCAACTACCACGAAGGCCTAAGGCCTAAGCACCCATTGGGTACCGTGGGGCTACAGGGGGGTACATGGGAAAGGGGGGGACGCCACACGGCGAGGGAACACGTGTGCATGCAACATGCACACATTCTGGCTCCGCCCACGAGAACCGCCGGGTGGTACCTCCGCGTTCGACAGTCAGAGACCATCTACCACCTACGGAAAATCACAACATCCATAACCAAGAGAAAAATTTCTCCTGGGACGGGACTCGAACCCGCACAGCGCACGGCGACTGATCAGGAGACCGAAGAGTTTACTACTGCGGCCACCGCTGCTGCCTGGAAGGTACTGCTGGAATTTGGATAAATATTTGACACAAGTTTACTAATATGTCGCGGATGTAGTTTTTAGAAATCGGTGAAAACTTCATTTTTGACTTTTTGGCGGATCCTGATCATTTTCAGAAAATTTAGGAATGGGGATTGAGGGGTGTATCTCATTTTGTGGGCGGCACTGTATTTATAGACTTCCAACTCAGTGCATATTTCAAACATGAAAGATTTCCCTGTACATGTTCCCTGATAACTTAGAGAAAGAGTAATAGACGTGACAAGGGGTCTGTCAGAACGATGCGATGTAAAGCCGACTTTCATACGCCGAACCCCGCCTTGCGTCTGACAGCATCGCCGGCAGGCATGTTATAGTATCGTGGCTGGCACTTATGACGTGTTTGACTGGGGTGGTCCAGCAGCGTTGCCAGATGGTCTATAGGCCTAGGGCAGGGAAGAAACTGGCGTTAGCGTTATCAAATGAATGGGAACTAAGGAGGATTAACTAGTTGTATATGGACATTTCAGTTGACAGATTTGATTTCTTGTTATTTATGTTTGTAGCTAGCTTAAGGGGAATAACTTGGGCTGCACATAGTCATTTATGAACTGATGACAGCGTTGCGTGGGAAGTGCAGAGTCGACCAGTTTACGCCATTTTTTGTACTGTTTGGTATACATATTTATACAGTATTTATTATAATAATATTATTATTGTTAATACTAATTAGTTTGAACAATCCGATCCGGAAATAGTAATGCCCATATACTAGCTTAGAAAATTGTCAATCTAGATTATTTTATGACATCGGTCCTTGTACCCTTAAGTTATAAGTAGATTCATTTTAGCCAGGTGTAGGGAGTGGATCAAGATATTTGACTTCACTTTTTCATATTTTGTGCCGATTTACAAATATGTACCTACATAGTTATCATAAATTACAACTCAATACTTAACTAAACTATACTATCGAATTATGTGGACTAGCCCATTCTGCTTTACAAGACGCAACTATCTTCGAATGTCTCTCATGAGATCCTGGACGGAATTCAGATCAATTTCTCTCAGGTTTTCATAAATTCGCCGTCTTAATTGTTCTTCATCTTGGGCTTTCAAACCTCCATGATAGACCTTCCTAGACAGTAAAATGGAGCCCAAAAATCCTCTAATGGTCGAGGCTGTGCCAAGTTTGAAGGATTATCGTTTTTGAGAACAAAAAGGTATGTTGTGTTGTCAAAGCCAGTTTTGAGTATCTCTTGAGTAACGTCATGATGTTCGTGGACAAACTGAAGCAATTTGGAAAGGCAGTTATCACTATAGATCTAAATGTTCAAAGCTTTACCCCTCACTCTTCCCACAAAAGATTGAGATACACCCCTGTTAGAAATCGCGCACCAGCAAAGGATTTTATCTGAAAATGTCGTTTCATGTTTGTATCTAACATTGTGATGGCATTCCTCTACATTAACCGTATAAAATTCGTCGTTTCCTTCATTTCCGGATTACTCAAAGTGAAATACTTTTCGTCATCTAAAATAAAGATTTTTAGATTGGTAAATGGTAGCCCCCTCTGTTGACGACAGCATCTTGGTATACGAAAGAGTTGCGCTTGAACGTGTTTGGGGCACTTAAGTTTCTTTCGATACTTAAGTCCATTCCTCCGCAATTCCAACGATATCGTATTCCAATCTGATTTTTTGCTCTTCTCACCAATCTCTCTAACCTCTGTGAAGTAAATTCGCGTGATCTTCCACTTTTTGGGAGATTCGGACATGGTATTTATTCCCTGCTCCCGCTCCACTATTGATCGATAAATGGTTCTGCGTGAAATGTTTTCATTCATTCAGCTTTGCGTACTCGCCCAACCAAAAGGTAGATACTTTTTCTTACTTCTAAGTTATACGACATCTTACAGCGAAAACTTCAAAATTAATAAATATAAACTGACAGTAAAGTAAGTAAACAAACTTGATATTACTTTGTTTGTTAACATTAAAGCGAATGAATTTTGTGCAAGAACATTTAGGACATACGTTATTATGAAGAAATTCCTCCAGAACTCATAGATGCTGCAAGACCAATCTTTAATGTGCGCCAATAAAAAACTAACTTACGCAACGTACTTCATCACAACTTCTGATTACCTGTAACCCTTTTCGCTGAGACGCATGAAGCAGACACAGCAGCAATTCTCCGTTTAATCAGCCTTTTTCATTTTTTCTTCTAGCAAAAAGCGAGGGAGGATAGAAGCAGACGATAAAAGTGGACCATTAATAATTTTGTCAAGATTTCGCGCAGATACACGCAAGAATAGGAACAGGAATTATGAATTATGATTAATTTCAACGGTCTCTGCTTTCTGGCAGGAAGCAATAAAGATAACACCTTTCCAGGATTAATGTTATAACTGTGTTTAGTATTTCTGGTTTAGATAGCATTATTTGTTTCGTTTTACGTTTCCTTCGGAGAGTAGTGGCTGTTAAAAGATTCTTCAGTTAAATGAATCAAGGACGTTGAAATAGACGGTAGCGGTAGCTCCATAGTAAGAAGTGTAGTAGTTAATATTTGGACGAAGTTTCAAAACAACATGTTGAAAATTGAAGAACCTGGGACAAGGGACCTTAGCTACACACCATATTTTAAGAAATTTAAAGCTACAAGCTTTATGCAAAATCCTGGAGTCAGGTTTTATGCATAATTTCTATTGAACTGTAACATTAGGTTTTCATTTAGGGGAACTATAGCTTGGCAATGCTTATTGCCTTAGTTCAAGAATATGCTGTATTCTAAGGCTGATTTGGAAAAAACAGAATGCTTCATAAGCACATACTTTGAGTGTTCATTGTCAGACTTGCGCACTACGTTAAATTTGACATATATATGGTAAAATTCTTTTTCATGGGATAAAAACTATTGTAAATATCTTCAACATAATATTGCCAATTTGGTACTCCATCTTACTGGTATGCTGGTATGATACCATGCGGCGCGGCGATCTACGAGGAGGGCGCGACATTATCTATATCTGTATACAGGGCTTTCATTTGAAAACTTCACACCACTGATTTATCGAAAACGACTGATTAACAGAAAAAACGCCGAAACACGTCAAAACATTTGTCAAGGAGGACAACTTTTTAACCAAAAACTACTTCACCCCCTTTCACCCTCGGCTCCCCCAGGGTTATTCCCTTGAAAATTTTAAATGATAAGGGATATCGAGTAATAGCTTGTTTGCCAGGTATTTCGTAGTCCTTTACTTTGATGTTTGATTTTTGAAAATCAATTGATACATTTTTGAAAAAAATTAAAAAATATCACTTTTTATTCCAATAAGTGTTCAAAATGTTGCCCGTTAGGGTTTGCAAATCTTCCATTCGTTTATCATTTAAAACGGAAACTACCAACTAAACACCAATTCGGAGGATTACACGTGGCAACAACCAAATAATAACCCTATTTGTTCATCAACACAGATGTCCTGTGCGAACTGTTTTTATTGTTATACCTGTTTAGTTATTTTTTGCTAAGTTTGCTCTCAGTTACCTGTGTGACAATCTTGGGATAGTGAAAATTAATTAACTGATTCAGATTTTACTTCCAAAATGCTTTACACGCTAGCCGAAAGAGTGGAAATGATTCTAATTTATGGTTCCTAAAATCAATATGCTCGGCAAACTGCCGTCACGTTTAACAACAGACATCTGGGGAAGATAACTTCGCATAGGTATGTTTTGGACCTTGTTACTAAATTTACTCTAACTGGATCTGTTGCAAATAAAAAACGTGATCGTCGGAGAGTTTTAATAAATAATACTTCATTACGCCAAATTGTTGCTGCGGCAGGTATTTCTTTGGGCTATGTACACACAGTCACTAAACTCCATAAATTTCATCCATTCAAAGTGGAAATATTGCAAGAGTTAACGGAATATGATGTTGGTAGGCGAGTTGAGTTTTGTGAACAAATGTCTACAGCGATTAATGATAATACCATTCATGTAAAGAATATCTGCTTCAGTGATAAATGCACATTTTATCTAAATAGATTTGTCAATAAGCATAACTGTAAGTATT